CGGAATGCCCGAGGGTTCTCATCTTGGGCGTTCGCCAACCATCTTGAACCCCGTCGGCCCTGTGCAGTGCGGTGACGCGCTGGTGGGGTACAAGAATGCTTACGAGTCCTTGCTTACGCCGTCAAAGTTTTGTAACCGTTTGGCGGCGGTCGAATTGTTCCCTACCTAGGCTCTGCCTAGAAGGGTTCTTACTCTCTAGCTTAAAGGGGCCGGGCAGTGGAAAGCGCCCCGGGCGTATCCCCCAGTCCCCTGGGAGCGGTTCCCCCCAGTCCCCTGGGAGCTTTAGCTTTAGCTTTAGCTTTAGCTTTAGCTCGAGCTTTAGCTTTCGCTTAGCTTTAACTTAGCTGTAGCATAGCTTTAGCTTAGCGTTTCGCTTAGCTTTTCGCTTAGCGTTTAGCTTAGCTTTAGCTTAGCTTTAGCCTTAGCTTAGCTGTAGCTTAGCTGTAGCTTAGCTGTAGCTTAGCTGTAGCTTAGCTGTAGCTTAGCTTTAGCTTAGCTTTAGCTTAGCTTTAGCTTAGCTTTAGCTGAGCTTTAGCTTAGCTGTAGCCTAGCTGTAGCTTAGCTGTAGCTTAGCTTAGCTTTAGCTTAGCTTTAGCTTAGCTTTAGCTTAGCTTTAGCTTAGCTTTAGCTTAGCTTTAGCTTAGCTTTAGCTTAGCTGTGGCTTAGCTTTAGCTTAGCTTTAGCTTAGCTTTAGCTTAGCTTTAGCTTAGCTTTAGCTTAGCGTTACTGTTACTACTAATGCTGCCTTCCTAGGGGTTCCAACTCCTAGGTAGGGTCGCACTGGGATAATTTTTCCTCGCATGAAGGGCTTGCTGAAGTGGGCCCACGCTGTGCTCCGTGGCTGGGAGAAGTCACGGTTGATCAAGCACGCCGTGCCGCCTGGCAAGCTGATGTGCATCAATCTGGCGTCCGCTGGGCATGCGAGGCTGGGCCTAGGCATGGTGCTGCAGTGCCGTGAGGCTTGGCCTGCGCCCTGGACGCATTTTTTATTCATCGTCGGGCTATCGATAGCAGGTCAGATTCAGGGGTGCGACTCGGTGCGAAAGCTCAGCGGCCCCAGGTGCCGTACTTCCCGACGTCATGCTGTTATCGCTGCAGCCCTTTCAAGATGTGTGCAGTTGGCCCCACCTGACCAGCTTCTCTTTCCATGCACTATCTCTCAATATCGTGCGTTCTTTAAATCAGCCGGCGCGGCGCTGGGGCTTTCTGTGGGCTGGGGCCAACGCCCGCGCGCCGGCTGGGCGATCGATTCTCGCGCCGAGGGCGTCCCGTTCGCGGAGATCCGCGAGGGCGGCCGCTGGGTCAGCGACTCCAGCCTCTGGATCTACTTCGACGTGCAGTCGGCAAACGCGGTGCTCGCCGACCTGCTCACGAGAAGCAGCTGCGCTGGGCGGCTGGCTGCTGGAGGCAGTACGTGCGCCCAGAGCTGCCGGGGCCCCCCCGCCGCTGACGTGGCGCCGAGGGGAGGCAGCAAGTTTGTCGACGGCGACTACGCGCCCCCTGCTTCGGCGAAGACTTTCTCACCTGCCTCGGCGGAGAGCTCGAGGACGGCTTCGCCAGCCCCAGCTCAACCGCTCTCGCCAGGGGCCAAGTCGGGCCCCGCGCCGCCGTTGTCCTGGGCGCTGGTAGGCACGCCCTTCGCCGACCTAGCGGCCCCGTCGCTCCTGAGCGGACCGCCGAGCGGGGCCGACCCGCTCGCTCCGATCGCGGAGTCCGTGGCGCCACCGCCCCTCGCGCCCCAGACGACCCCTGGGCCGCGGCGGCCGCGCCCTTCGCCGTGGCGGAAAGGTCTTGCCAGCTTGGGCCGCGTGGGCCGCGCGTGGGGGCTTTCGCCAGGCGCTGTGCTGCTGCTGGCGCTGTGGATCAGCCCCCCCGAGCTTCTTGCCCGTGCTGGCCACGGCGCCGGCGCGGTTATCAGCCCGAGGGCGTTGCCGACGCTGGTGGTGTGCTGACGCGTGCGGGCTCCGACGTCGCGGTACTGGTGACGGATGTCGCCGTGGCGGTGGGCCGCGGCTCACCGTCGGCCCCGGGGGGGTCCCGGGAAGGCGTCGACCTCCTCGATGCCACGGCCAACGCGTCAGGTGGGCGCTTCATCCTGTTCCTCGGCTACCACCGCGCGGGCCAGGATTCCGCGATGACGGATGCGCTGGGGCAGCCACCCGAGGCGCGGGCCGCGGAGATCTGGAAGGCTCTCGACCAAGTTGGCCCGACATTACATGCCATCGCCAAGTCGGACCAACAGTTTGTCGCGCTGAATTGCTTTGGGGTCTTTGAATTCGAGGTGGCGCTTCTCTGTGCATACTGCGCGGGGCTGCGATTCACGTGGGCGGCTTTCCATTTCGAACCAGTTTGGGCCAATCCTTTGTGGGAATGGATTGGACTTGATGTGAGCGCGCGGCTGGGGCGTATCTCGTATCGAATGAAGTCAAGCACAGATGCGGCACTACAGACCTCAGCTGGCTGCGCGCACCGCTTCCACGCGTCCGGCATCCCTGTCGGCGGCTTCCCACCCTTGTGGTTCCGCCTCTGGATGCGCATGAGATTTTCAGCAGAGTTTGCACGCTTGTCTGGCGGGAGTGGGCTGGAATGGCGACGAGAAGATCAGTGGTTTCGATTTGCCGTGAATTTCAGATCACAAGTGGGTTTCGGCATCAGTGGAGCGTCATCCATTCCAGCCTTGTATGGGGAGCTTTGCAAAAGCGATCGTGCATATATGCTGTGCTCTGGGTATCAGAGCAAGCGTTTTTCTTCGATGCTGGCCTGCCGCTCGCCAGTCCAGCGTGCAGATGGCAAATGCTTTCGAAGTGGTTGTGCACTCATCCTGCTGTAAACCTCGTGCCGTGCCATCGTCCTGTCCATCCGTGTCTGTCTGCCCTATGTCGACTGGGCTACGCCTGTGCCATGTCCAGTCCCTGGGTGGGTTGGCGGGCTTCCAGAACATGCCAGATCAGCTTCACGCGTTCGCACCCCATAATTTGATATTGAGGGCAATGCATTTCATTAGTTCCCTACCTAGGCTGTGCCTAGAAGGGTTCTTACTCTCTCAGCTTAAAAGGGGCCGGGCAGTGGAACACGCCCCGGGCGGTTCCCCCAGTCCCCTGGGAGCGGTTCCCCCAGTCTCCTGGGAGCTTTAGCTTTAGCTTTAGCTTTAGCTGTAGCTTTAGCTTTAGCTTAGCTTTAGCTTAGCTTTAGCTTAGCTGTAGCTTAGATTTAGCTTAGCGTTTCGCTTAGCTTTTCGCTTAGCGTTTAGCTTAACTTTAGCTTAGCTTTAGCTTAGCTTTAGCTTAGCTTTAGCTTAGCTCTAGCTTAGCTGTAGCTTAGCTGTAGCTTAGCTTTATCTTTAGCTTAGCTTTAGCTTAGCTTTAGCTTAGCTTTAGCTTAGCTTTAGCTTAGCTGTAGCTTAGCTTTAGCTTAGCTGTTGCTCAGCTTTAGCTTGACTTTAGCTTAGCTTTAGCTTAGCTTTAGCTTAGCTTTAGCTTAGCTGTGGCTTAGCTTTAGCTTAGCTTTAGCTTAGCTTTAGCTTAGCTTTAGCTTAGCGTTACTGTTACTACTAATGCTGCTTTCCTAGGGGTTCCAACTCCTGGGTAGGGTCGCACTGGGATAATGTGATTGGTTGCAGATCTCCCCTCCGCAGTTTTTCTGTCCCCCCTATCGCGCTTGGGTTTCGCTTCGATTCCGTGGTGGAGTGTCCTTGCAATTTCCCTCCTTGAGCCAGCGTTAGGGAGTTCTGCAAAAAAAGGATCGTGAATCTATGCAGTGCTGTTGGGGTCAGCAAAATTTTGTTCTCGACACTCGCGTGCCGCTCACCAGTTCATCATGCAGATCGCAAATACTCTCGAAGTGTTTGTGCAGTCATCCTGCTGTAAATTTCGTGCCGCACCATCTTCCTGTCCATCCGTGTCTGCCATATTTCGATTGGACTTCGCCCTTTTCATGTCCAGTCCTTGGGTGGGTGAGCGGGCTTTCAGAACATACCGGATCAGCTTCACAAGTTCGAGCCACATCATGATTATGATATGGATGATGGCCGATGATCGTTGTGATGCTGACGATGATGCAGGCGAGGAAGATGAGGATGATGATGATGATGCGGATGCTGGTGATGGAAATGATGATGATGATGATGATGATGATGATGATGATGATGATGAGGATGAGGATGAGGATGAGGATGAGGATGAGGATGAGGATGAGGATGATGATGATGATGATGATGATGATGATGATGATGATGATGATGATGAGGATGAGGATGAGGATGAGGATGAGGATGAGGAGGATGATGATGATGATGATGATGATGATGATGATGATGATATTTATGGTGGTGGTGGCGGCGTTGGTGACGGTGATGATGGCGGTGATAGTCATGATGATGCTGATGCTAATGATGATGACGACGATGCTGTTGGTGATGATGCGGATGATGACGATAATGACAAATATGATGATGACTATGATGATGAGGATGCGGATGAGGATTGGGATGCTGATGATGATGCTGATGCTGATGCTGTTTCTGATGGTGATGCTGATGAGATGCTGAGGAGGACGGCAGAGGAGGGGGGAAGGACAGAGTGCGGGAGGAGGAATAGCGGAGTACGGGAAAGAAATGGGTTGATGATCAGTGGAGGAGGGTTCATGAGGAAGAAATGGAGGGTGAGGGCCACGAAATGGACGTGGAAGGCTTCCAAGGGCTCGATGACCGGGCTGTCGGTCGCCTTGTGGGCAGAATGCCACGCAGGCCGAGGCAGATCGATGCTGTGTTCGAGGCAGGCACGGACAATATGAAACCACGCCAGAGATGCCGAGATCGTTTTGGACAAGCGTTGGTCCGTCCACAGATGCTCGGGCATAGCCGGATAGGAAAGGGCCAACCAGAGATGCCAGGATATATTTGGACAGGTCGCGGAACGACAGCAGAAGTCGTTGAGTCCCTGACGGGACGAGGACGTGCGGCTCCTTCGCGCTCCCACGCTCCCACACGCGCGCGGCTCCCCAGGGCCCCCCCGCTCTCAAGGGGGCCCCCTCCGCGCCAGCCCGGCGCCAGCCTTTTTGTAGCTGGGCTGGGAGCTACTGGAGGGGACGGGAATTTCTCTGTCTGTGTGTGGGCGTCGAGGAGGAGGAGGGGGAGGAGGAGGAGGAGGAGGAGGAGGAAGAGGAGGAGGCGGAGGAGGAGGAGGAGGAGGAGGACGAGGAGGAGGAGGAGGAGGAGGAGGAGGAGGAGGAGGAGGAGGAGGAGGAGGAAGACCCTCCGGCCTCGGTCTGCGAGTGAGGTGCCTTTTGCGACGGAGGCCGGCTTCCAGAGCGTCCTCGGGGGCGCGACTTTCTGGCTTTTTCTTTCGCGGGGGAAGATCCACCCGCAAGTTAAGCATGGGATCCCGGTCTCGGGAGCGCGGCTCCGGTGTGCGCTTCTTTATGTCAGGGGTTTTCCAGTAGCGGGGGCGGCCAAGAGGGGGGTGATGACTGGGGGGGTGGATATCATGGCGGGGGCCATGATATGCCCTCAGACTTCATGGCGCCTCTTCTTATTTCAGTGCGTCCCCAGCCCCGCCCCTGGGCCGCGCACGTGCATCGGGCCATGATTCGCGCCCTCCCCCCCCCCTCGTGGACGCCCCCCTCTTGGACGCCCCCCGACACGAGTGGGGGCGCGTGTCTGGGGTCATTTCTGGGGGTTCTGGCCTCGGGGCCGCGAGTCTGGTGTACTTTTTATGTGGGACTGGCCTCGGAAGTGCGAGTCTGGTGCACTGTATAAATGGATTGCCGCTTCGGGATGCGCGAATCTGGTGTGCCTCACTGGTGAGTCTGGCCTCGGAAGCGCGAGTCTGGCGTAATGGAAACAAGACTTCTGCTCAGGAGTGCGAATCTGGTGCACCTTTGCCCCAGGGATTCTGGTTTCAGGAGCGCGAGTCTGGCGTACTTTGCAGGAGGGATTCTGGCCTCGGGAGCGCGAATTGGTGCAGGGTGCAGGAGACCTCATCCGCGCAGCCTGGTGGCCCTACAAAGGTCCAGCGGATATAAAAAACATCCGAGCCAGCCGACCCTCGATGCCGAACCAAACCAGCGGCGGGGGCGGCGACGACGACGACCGCGACGTCGTACCTCGACGGCGACGACAACGACGACAACGATTTCAACGACGGCAACGACAAAGACGACGACGACGACGACGACGGACGACGACGACGACGACGACGACGACGACGACGACGACGACGACGACGACGACGACGGGGGCGGCGGCGGCGGCGGCGGCGGCGGCGACGACGACGACGACGACGACGACGAGGAAGACGGCGACGACGACGACGACGACGACGACGACGACACTGGCGTCGGCGGCGGCGACCCAGACGACGACGACAGCGGCTGAGGCGGCGGCCCCGCGACGACGTCGCCATGGTCACCTCGACGTTGAACCTCGACGGCGATGGCGGTGGCGGCGGCAGCGACGGCTGTCCGCTCCTGGAAATCTCGGGAGGCCCCAGCACTTGGCAGAAACGCCAGACAAAATTCCGCTGGGAGGGGGAGGAGGAGGAGGCAAATCTCAGTAGGAAGGAGAGCCGAGGGGGGAGGATGGAGAAGGAGGAGAAGGAATGAGGAATTGGAGGGAGGAGGAGGGAGGAGCAGGGACTGGGCAGAGGAGGGACGAGGGATGGTGATCGATCCCTGAGGCAGCACCGACGGCGGCGGCGGTGACCGGCCTGACGCGCCAGGGAGCGGCGCGTCCCCCTGCGGGGGTGCTCCCGATGCCCGCCGGGGCGGGGCCGCCGGAGCTGAGCCGGCTCGCCCTGCTGCAGAAGTGCACCCAGGCGCCGCCATCGTGCCGCCGCCGCCGTCGGCGTCGTCGTTGTCGCCGCCGCCGCCGCCGCCTTCGTCGTCGGCGTCGTCGTCGTCGTCGTCGTCGTCGTCGTCGTCGTCGTCGTCGTCGACGTCGTTTTCGGCGGCGTCGTCGGAGGCGTCGTGTTTGTCGTCGTTTGCGTCGTCGTTTGCGTCGTCGTTTGCGCCGCCGTTCTTATCGTCGTCTTCGTGCTCGTAGTCCTCTCCCTTCGCTTTGTCCTCGCGGTCCTCCTTGTTTCTCCTGGTCCTTGCTGTTGTCATCCTTCGTCTTTGCCATCCTTCTCCACGCCTCCGCGTCTTTCGTCCTCGTCCACGTTCTCGTTCTCCTGTCCCGTGGTATGGCCTGCCTCTCCATTGTGAGGCAGATGAGCTCAGCTGCGAACCCTCCAGGGCACAGCATTGGAAATCCCAAGTTGTCGTCCTCTTGCCGCTCCTGACGTCTCGCACGTGCCCTTCTGTTTCGGGCGCCCGTTGACGTCGACGTCATCTTCGGCTTCCGACTTCCTCCTATCTTCTCCAGCCTTCTTCGCGTCAGGACAAAATGTATGTGTTTTTTGTTGTGTGGTGTTGCTGATTTCTGAGACGTAAAGAATCAGTCATTGTTGTTGATCCTCCCTCTGATAACCATTGTACTTTTAAATTGTTGACGCTTAGCGAATCCCCACCAGCCCATCCAGAAACGATGCCCAGAGGAATTGCGTCGATCAGGGAAGTGAGCAGCAGACAGAGGAAGCCATGAGACATCTTGGGATATCTTGAGCCATCTTGGAGGTCATTTTGGGCTCTCCCAGGCGCTCTTGGAGTCATCTGACTCAGTGCCCCCCCCAAGAGGCCAACATGTGGCTAAAACCTTTGTAAAATCAATGATTTGGCATTCTCGCCGAGGCCTCTTGGAGCATCTTGGGTGCCTCTGGGGGGTCTCTTGGGGCCTCTTGGGGGTCTCTTGGGAGCCTCCTGGGGGCCTCTTGGGGTAGGACCATCTTGGGGCACCCTTGGGAGCCTTTGGGGCCATCTTTGGGTCATCGAGGGTGAGATCGATCACAGGAGGGGGTGTTACGGATTACAGTCGCCCCCCCCAAGAGGCCAAAATGGGGCCAAAACCATCGTAAAATCAAGGATTTTGGCTTCCTCGCCGAGGTCGTTTTGGACGCTTCGACGACTCGCGAGACCCCCTGTCCAGGTCCATATGGAGGGGGTAGGGGGAGGGGTAAACCCTTCCCCGAAGGGGAAGAAGGAGGGGTGGAAGAGGAAACTCGTTAAACCACCGACGCCCTAAAGGGCTGGTGGGATTAAAGTGCTCCTCCCGGGTCTCGCACACTGTTTTGTACAAGGGAACGCGAGGGGTCACCAAATTGGGCCGCTGGCCCCTCAGTTCCAACAACAACGGCTCCTGCCTGATATTTCCTCACAATTTATTTGGAATTGTTGCTCAAGCTCGGGATTCCCTCACACTTTATACAGGAATCGCGCCCTCGCGTGGGACTTCCTCGCAATCTATTTAGACGCCGCGCCCTGGACACTCAGGAATTTCGCTCACGCTGTGGATTTCCTCACGATGTACTTCGGAATCGCGCTATCGCTCGAGACTTCCTCGCAGTTCATGGAGGACGCACGCTTCAGCAACCCGCCTGCTCGACCTGGCCGTCCGCCTTCCCGACCCGCCCGTTAGGGTCTCCCCGCCCGGTCTGCCCGTTTGGTCTCGTGCTCCATCCTCCTCCCTCCCCCCTGTCCATTCCTTCCATCCGTCCCCTCTTCCCTTGCCTGAGGGGCTGCGCGAATTAGTTTTTGATCTGCAGGGCGAGAGCGAACCTCTTGCGCTGAAAGCTAAGCGGGACGCGCACAGCTTTAATTAGCAGAGAAAGGACGGAAGAGAGCGGGGCCTCACGCGGCCGGGAGGAGGCGAAGCCCAGGGATCAGGCGGTGCCGAAGTGGACGTGCGGGACACCTTGGACAGGAGCCCGGTGGTGAAGTCCCGGGAGGAAGAAAGCCGGTGGTGGAGCCGTCAGCGGCGCTTCGAGAACACCAGCCTCACAAACTTCGGGAGAGGACGCGCCACG